TCTGTTTGGATGCTCACCTTTCTAGACCTGGAGGGAGGGGGGAAGACCTTGAACTTCCCACAGGGCAGGAACCCTGACTGCTCTTAGGACTGGAGAGGGAGGAGGAGAGGGAGTGGGGGGAATGGGAGGGGATTGGGAGGAGGGGAGAAAGTGGAAATTTTTATAAATAAATAAATAAGTAAAAAAAAGAAAAAAGAAAAAAATGTGTTTAGTTTTTATTATAATTCACATTAAAGAATTCCATCATGAAAGTTCTTTGTAATCTATGCTTAGAGAATACATTTTCATTTTCTCCCTGGTCCCATTGATAGCTCAATGTGGAGACTTGGCTTAGTTACTTTTCTCTTGCTGTGATAAGATACCATGATCAAAGCAACTTATAGAAAAAAAGTGTTTATTTAGAACTTGTAGTTTTAGAGGGTTAGAGTCTATGACCATTGTTGCAGAGAATATAACAGTAGATAGGCAGGTATTGTATTAGAGCAATATCTGAGAACTTACATCTGATTCACAAGTATGAGGCAGAGAAAGAGACTGTGAATGGCCTGAGACTTTTGAAAGACTCATGAAAGACTGACTATCTGAAATTCCTCAAAGACTACCTCTTTTTTTTCCTATTTGAGCTAGAACATTTCTTTTTTTTTAAAAAGTAATTTTATTAAATTATAAAAGTTTCCATTTACACCCCTCTTCCCAACACCCTCCCACTCCCCCCACTCCCTCTCCTCCTCCCTCTTCCTCCCTAAGGGCAGTCAGGGTTTCCTGCCCTGTGGGAAGTTCAAGTTCCTCCCCCCTCCCTCCAGGTCCAGGAAGGTGAGTATCCAAACAGACTGGATCCCCAAAATCCAGTATATGCAGAGGAAACAAGTCCCAGTGTCATTGTCAATGACTTTTCAGAAAGACTCCAGGCCAGCCACATTCAGAGAATCTGGCCACATTCAGAGAATCTGGTTGGATCACTTCCTCGTTCAGTCGCAGTCCAATTGGCCTTGGTAACCTCGGGTGCATGGGCGGGGGTGGGAGGGTTGTTGGAAGGGGAGAGGGTTAGAGAGAAGGGAGTAGGGGAGGAATGGGGAAAGCTCGGTTGACCGGGATGGGGGGGATGGAGGAAGGATGAATATGGGATCAGGGAAGAATATATTTCAACTAAGGGAGTCATTTTAGGGTTTACAGGAGACTTGATTATATATGGGATCCCAGGTCCAAGGAGAGATCCCCAGATTGTTCTCTGGACAGAGGAGAGGGTGCCTGAACCGGCCTTGGTCCATAACCATACTGATGAATATTTTGCTTATCACCCTAGATCCTTCATCTGGCGATGGATGGCGATACAGACGGAGACCCACATTGGAGCACCGGACTGAGCCCCCCAAGGACCAAATGAGGAGCAGAAGGACGGAGAAAATGAAAAAGGAAATAAGGACTGCGAGGGATGCTATCACCCACTGATACAAGGGGACGGATCTAATGAGAGTTTACCAAAGACACACCTCCTCCAACAATGCCCATAACTCCTAATCTTTCCCAAACAGTGCCACCAACTAGGGAACAAGTATTCTAATATAAGAGCCTGTGGGGATTATTTTCATCAAAACCACCCCAAAAACATTTATGGTAATGGTTTTGTGAATATGTGTGTACTATGCGGGGAGATGCATACTACAAACTCGTTGTGTTTTGTTGCTAATTTTGAAATTGTATTTTACTTACAACATTTCTCTCTTCCCTTTTTTCCCTTTAAACCCTCCCATATACCCCTCTCTGCTCTCCTTCAAATTCACGGACTATTTTTCACCAATTGTTACATATTCCTAAATATAACCTATTACATCCACATAATGTTGCTTGTATGTATGATTTTAGGGCTAACTATCTGGTACTGGGTAACCAATTGTTATGCTTCACTTTGGGGAGGATAGCCTCTCTTATTCCCAGATTTACTGAGTTGCTTAAACTTCTTTATTTGATTGAGGCATTGGGGAACTTTTTATATGGAGTTTGATGTGATTGTTGCTGTCATCGTTATTTTGTTTTCATGTTTGTGTCAAATTGGTGAGACTTCACAAGTGTCACATCTGATATTATTAGAGGACACAATCTCATAGTAAAGTCTCTGACCCTCTAGATCTTACAATCTTTCTGTGCCCTCTTCTGTAATGTTTCTTAAGCCTTAGGTGTGGGAGTATTTGGTAGATGTAGCCGTTGGAACTGGATTTCACAACTCTGTGTATTGATTGGTTGTAGATTTATGTGGTGCTCTCCATCCATTGCAAAGAAATGTTTCCTTTATGTGGGATGAAGACTACACTTAAATGTGGGTATAATGACAAATGTTTACAGATTGGTTTTGGGATTATGTTGTATGGGTAAATTCTTGGTGGTAGATTCTTCTCCAAAAAGCATGACTTCATTAGCAATGAGAAGTTTCCAATTCCAGGCTTGGTATCCTTCTGGTTGAATGAATTTTAAATCTAATTAGAGTAGCTGGTTACTATCAGATATGTGTGCTACTACTGCACCTGTAGGTTTATTATGCAATATTAGTCACTAATTAGATTCATAGGTATAAGAGTTAGGTTGGAATTTTGACTGCCTCTCTCTTTTGAAAGTTTGCATGGCACTTCCTCTTATACCATGAAATGTAATCCTTGGGAATGGGGTCATTGTGGTCAGTTCCAACTCAGGGGCTTCTGAGCAGTTTCTGAAGTACTCAGAAGTCTTTAGCAGTAGGAAATTGCCTTCTAGCTCTAGAGAATAACCAAATGCAACAGCAATGCTCTGTATGTTTTATAGGTATCTTAAACAGCTCTGGCCAACAATCAAAAGTGAGCTTCTCATGTCTGGTATTAGTATTTTTGTCAGGCAGGGTTGTCTTTGGATCTTAGAGGAAGTACCATGTGTCTAGATTTAAAAAGTTTATTAATACTGAACATTTATATTTATCCACTGAATTACATGTGTTATGGAATCTTTGTTGAGGGTCAGATAAATAGTTATTAGTATTATGATTCCTTGTGGTTTTCCAGCTCATCATTTTGTTATTTTATCTACCTCCTCCTATATTTACTTTCCTCCCCTTCCCCTAAGGAACACCCTCATTTTTCTATTTATTCTATCATGACACTTAAATCCTGCTATTCTCTTTGCCTTCCTATCACCACAGAAACCTTTGTGGTAATGGTTTTCTGAATTTGTGTAGACTGTACAGATAAATGTATACTCCAAACTCTTGTGTTTTCATTTTCTATTGCAATAACAAACCAATACAGGCTGCATGGCTTACAACACTGAAATGATATTGCTTTATTGCTTTCAAAGGCCAGCATTCTGAAATATATTTCGCTGCAATAATATCAGTATTACAAAAGTTGCATTCCTTCTGGGAGCTCTAGGGAGCAATCCATTCACCTTCCTTGATAGCTTTTGTTTGACTGGTTGGTTACATTGTTTGTTTTTCTTATGGCACTTGAGGTCACATACAAATACACTCAGTATTTTGTTTTAGTAGTCAAGTACTCTACCACTTTACTGTGTACCTATCCCCTTTTACAGCTTCCAGAGACCACAGAACTTGGTCCATGCCCCCTTCCTCTATCTTTAAAACCAGAAATATAGACTCTTCAAATATCTTTCAGAGTCTGGCATTCATTCCTGATTCCTTTTTTATAAAAACTTTTGTGAATATACTTGACCAGTCTAGATAATTAAAGTTTTCTTTCCATTTTAGACTACTTAATACCATCTTCAAGATCCCTTTTGCTGTATAAAGTAAGATACTAAGATATCCGTGGGCTCCAGATACTAGGACATGGGTGTATTGAGGGAGAGGGGAATTAGCCTATCTTCTAGAGCTTGTGGTAGATATGGATGAAAACATTTAGATTCCTCTACTTTGCTACCTTGTCTTTTATATTATTTTGACAAAATATACCTAGTTCTAATACACCCATTCATTTGATATATATGTTTTGTAGGGTGCTTAGTCTTATTCGTAAGCCTACTTAAATCTTTTTTCAGCCTTGTGTAGACATTAAAACCAAGTCTCCTATTAAAATGGTATTTTAATGACAACTTTGAATTTAGCACCTGTTCATAATTCTAGTGTCTTCTTTCTCCCTCTTCTCCTCCTTTCCCTCTCTTTCTTCTATTTTTCTTTCTGAGATCGATCATACTAACAATTATAATCCAGTACCCCTAACTTTATCATCATATTTTATAATCATAGCTTTCTTTGCATGTGTTTCATCCTCACTGTGTTAAAGTTAGTAACTCCAGAGAAATGAGTGGTTCCAAAAAGAAAATGTATATTTCTGAATTCCCAGGAATAACCAATGAAAAAACAATGTGAGTGACAACCTCCTTTCTACATAAACAAAAATATCCAAGCAAAATGACATTTTGTGTCTTAACTGTGACCTATTTCTTCTTGAATCAGAGTCTAGGCATGTGATTTGCTTTGGCATATAAGTTCTCAGCAGAAATGATACAAAAACAGATATTTGAAAAATACTTAAGATTGGATTTTTATTGTTCTCATGTTTCAGAAATTAACATGTGAGCATATACAGACTATTGTGTTGTAAGATAAGAAACAGGTAGAAGAGAGAAAATTTAATGAAGTCAACTAAAATAAAGCATTCCAGATCAGCTAGAACATGTCTTAAAATAGAAGTGTATTACTTTATTGATCTGGAGGATCAAGATTCCGAAATAGTTTCCACTGCAATAAAACCAAACTACCCTTGAACAAGTACAAGATTTGGAAAAAAAAAAAACTGACCAATCACTACCAGAGTTGAAATGCACGAGTGAGACCGGCGCCTTCCTTGTCTCGCTGGCTAACTGCGGTCCCGCCTTCCCTTTCCTCCAGCAGGAAGAGTGGCGGACAGACTCTGAAGCTCCCGCTATCCAAACAAAGTCTCGGCTTTGCTTCTCAGAAGTGTGGTCTGGAGCCCTACCAGCGTCTCAGTTTCTCTCCCAGACTGAACCATCTTGAGAAAATGACCCACTGGTTTCATAGGAATCCTTTAAAGCTACAGCTCCCGTGTCTTTTAACTACTATGGCATGATCACTGGTCCTCCTGCTTCGAAGATCTGCAACTTTACTGTCTGTTGATGTTAGTGATTTGAGATCATCCAGGACTCGGCTCCTCGAGTTGTTCACTGATTTAAGCTGTAATCCGGAAACGATGAAGAACGCAGCAGACTTGTATTTCTCACTTTTACAAGGTTTCATAAATTCACTGGGTGACTCTACCCAAGAAAGCAAGTTACGATATGTGCAGAGCTTCAAGTGGACTGATACATTGCAAGGACATGTTCCGAGGGCCCAGCAGGATGCTGTTTTTGAATTGATATCCATGGGATTTAACGTAGCATTATGGTATGCCAAATATGCTTCACGATTGGCCGGAAAAGAAAACGTAACAGAAGATGAAGCAAAAGAAGTCCATCGGAGTCTAAAAATTGCAGCTGGGATTTTTAAACATTTAAAGGAAAGTCATATATCCAAACTTCTTACACCAGCAGAAAAGGGCCAGGACTTAGAGGCTCGGCTTATAGATACTTACGTCATCCAGTGCCAGGCTGAGGCTCAAGAAGTAACAATTGCCCGAGCAATTGAGCTGAAGCATGCTCCAGGAGTGATTGCTGCGCTTGCGTACGAAACAGCCAGCTTCTACCAGAAAGCAGATCATACTTTATCCAGTTTGGAGCCTGCATACTCTGCTAAATGGAGGAAGTACCTTCACCTGAAGATGTGCTTCTACACGGCCTATGCATATTGTTACCATGGCCAGACCCTGTTGGCTAGTGATAAATGTGGAGAAGCAATCAGGTCTCTCCAAGAAGCAGAAAAATTGTACGCAGAGGCTGAAGCCCTGTGCAAAGAGTATGGGGAAACCAAAGGACCAGGACCTACAGCCAAGCCATCAGGTTACCTGTTCTTCCGGAAGCTTGGCAGCCTTGTGAAAAACACCCTGGACAAATGTCAGAGAGAAAACGAGTTCATTTACTTTCAAAAAATTCCAACAGAAGCCCCACAACTGGAACTCAAAGCAAATTATGGGCTGGTAGAGCCTGTGCCTTTTGAATTTCCTCCTATGAGTGCTCACTGGACACCGGAAGCGTTGGCTGCATTTGATCTCACCAAGAGACCCAAGGATGACAGTGTCAAACCCAAACCGGAAGACGACGTGAAACCTGTAAAAGAACCAGATATCAAACCTCAAAAGGACACTGGGAGTTCTGTCTCTTAAGTGACACTTGTTTAGAGATCTCGCTGCCAGTTCCTAAGATGAACTGCGGGCTTCACTTCACCTTTTCTGTTTTCTATGAAGCCCATGGGATAATTACTGACTTCAGAGGGACTTGGCCTTTTGTTTATTTATTCTTGATTTTTAACATAGAAATGTTTTATGCTTTTGTTTCTGGGCTCTGCTTTTTTAATCAGGACAGCACTTGGAAGGGTTGTTTATATGCCTTTAATGAGTGTGCGTGGGGAGGGGGTTAGATTTATTTGAACGCTATAGAGTAAGTTTCAAGGTAATGTTTTTCTACCTTCATAAAAAAGTGTTTTGCTTCTTGTTTGATACCAGAAGAATGTTTGAAAAGAAATGAGTTCCCCTCTTGTCACCGACTTGTTAGATTTGAGTCTAACTCATTCTTCTGGTAGGAAAAGAAATTTGCAGTTAAAAATCAGAAAACCTTCAGACCAAATTCTTTCCTTACACTTAGCAGCCAATAATTTACTAGAAAAATCAGTGTTTAGAGGAATGTGGAACTTAGGGAAACCAATGATGGCGAACACTTCCCTTCCCTGCAGAGTCCCATGCTCCCATAGTCACCCTTAGTGTCCAGACAGTGATTTTTTTACAAGTACTTTTTCTAATGAACTTTTTTTACTTAAGGGACAAAGCTTTGTACTAGCATTTGGTGTTTCTGTAGAGAGAGATAAAGAATGGAAAGTGTGTTTTAAAGAAGTACAGCATTGCATGTTGTAAAGAAAGCCTTTCTTAGGCTCAGTCGAGATAGGTTCTCCTGGCTCACACTGATGATTCCTTCGTTAAAAGCATTTTAAGAAAATATTCTTTGTTACCTGATTTTGGTGTACATTGTGTCTTTAACATGGTTTTCTTCGATATCTAGCCTATCGGATTTCTTTGACTGTACGCCAAAGGCCATAGCAGCAGAAGGTCAAGATATAGATATAAACTATGATCTTCAAAGTGGGTACCACTTAAACAGTTTGGTTATATCCACAGACTGGGAAATAGAGGGTGTGTGACACTTTCACAAGTCACAAATCTGTAGTGTGTCCTGCGCGGTTACTCTCCTGCAGTGTTAACTCCTGTTCGTAAGTGGCAGATTGGCTCACTCAATGGGAACAGTAGTGTGCATGAGAGCTTACTGTGCACACGCCAGTGGGCAGGCACTTAGACAAACCACTGCATCCACATAGCAACCCTGTGGGAAACACATCAGTCACATAAAGTATTGAAACAGGAATGTGCATCTCATGATAAAGAATGAACATATTAGCCTTCAATCGAGATTGTGTTCAATAAATCATATATCATAGTTTACACTCCTTGGAAACGCTCCGTAGAATCAATGAAGTTTTTTTTAAAAAATAGAAAAGCTAGTTACAGCTTACAGTATCTATCAGTATCTATTTAACATTTGAAGCTGCAGCTTTCAGAACACTTGGAGAAACTACTGGATGAATGGGCATTAGGTTTTGTTTTGCTGCCTGTAGAAAAAAAAATACTAAGATTTCCCTAACTACAGAGTCGCTTGTCCTAGCTGCCATTTACTGACAACACTTTAACTAGTATTTGCTCAAGCCTGCTTGCTCTCTGCCCGTGGGACTTGTTTTAGGGACTAGTACTAATTAACTAGGTGGGAGATTTTTGTGGACTGGACTAAACCACCATTGGTGAGATGGAAACACATATGTGTAAGGTGCTTCTACAGTAAGTACAGGTGATGAAATCCATAATTGACCGTGTTCACATGGTCAGACAAGAAGTCTTCAGTTGACTGAAGAGGTGACACCTAATGTACCCCATTATATAAGGTTTTAAAGTGGTATTGGGAATTTGGGGAGATACCGAATGTGGAGCACTGGCATGAATACTGTAGGGAGATGGTACTATACATTCATGTTGCATGTATGTCATACCAGGCAAGGACAGCCCACATGCTACTACTGCTCAGTGTTTACACAATGATTTATCTTTATTTATGAAAATAAAAGCAATTTTACTTAAAAAAAAAAAAGAAAGAAATGCACGAGTGAGCCCACCCAGAGGTGTCATGTAGCAGCCAGAGGCAAAAGATATAAACTGTCAGCTGGAACCCTGCTGGTAGGTCACAAGCCTCATGGTAAAGCATAAAATAATAGAAATGGGTTAATTTAATATGTAAGAGCTAGCTAGAAATATGCTTATGCTATTGGCCAAACAGTATTTCAAATATTATAGTTTCTGTGTGTTTATTGCGGGACAGGCAGGACACAAACGTCTGCCAACAAATTGGCATGCCAACATAGTCAACTATGTCCACAAAAAATCTGAGAAAGCTTAAAAAGGAATTCTAGACACAAAATAACGGAGTTAACCATGATTTTTTTGTTAGCAGCATTTTCTCAGGTGGGCTCTGTTTGCTAGAAGCAAGCAGAGGAACAATTCCTTTAAGAGAGGTCTTCCTGACTCAGCAGTAGCATCAAAAACTTCATGGTTTCTTTAAGACTTTCTGGTTTGTGTTAGTTGCACAAACAACCTTTACTCTTTCAGGAGGTCCAGCTATGGAGCATTTAAATGGGGTTTGTGAGCAGCATGTTAAAAACTGCTAATGGAGCAACATAGACCTGCTGTATACCTGAAGTTGGAGTGGTATGCTTGGCTCGCAGAGTCTGTGAACAGACATCTGCCATGTTGGATTGGGTGGAGCCAAAAGACAAAGCAGCTTTGGTTCTAGGCCACACTGTTTTGCATTTTAAGAAATGGTCCTAGTCAGAAAAGAATTACAGATACACAATAAAGACAAATTCAGATTTAAAAGACCTCTAAATGGGTCATAGTCTGTTTTAAAATGTCTGTAGACTTGAGAGAGAGAGAGAGAGAGAGAGAGAGAGAGAGGAAAAAAAGTATAGACAGCTATAATATAAGAGTTTAGTTAATCATGGGTTAAAGAAGTAAAAATAATAAAATAAATATTAAACTTCAGAAAAAGTAATATATAGAGATATGTAATATACACAAAGAGTCTGAATTATGTATATTATTGTGTTTTCTTTAATATTTTTGGCGAGAATGAGCTAAGTACAAAGAGACATTTCATTGTATGGGCTGCTAAGCTAAACCAACATATATATACATATATATATATATATATATATATATGTATGTATGTATGTATGTATGTATTTTAAAACTATCTTGATATCAATGTTTGGGTCTAAGGATATGTTGCTTTGGAAAAGAGGTTCTTCTCTTGTTTACACAGAGGATGAGAACCTGTGGAATCCTTGTAGACTAATGTGGTTGGATGGACAAAGACCCCTCCCAAAAGGTCACCATGAACAAATCACCCCCAAAAAGAAAATATTTTTGCCCAACAGAAAGCAGGAAGCAGTGTGGAGAGAACTACACCCAAATTCCCAAATATTGTTTTTAAATGGCTGATTACTGGGATATGCTATAGATATTGGCATTGGCATGAATCTTGGTTTATTGATACAAATTTAAGATCAATTTTAAGGTCAGTACAATAAACAACCAGACATGCTCAAGAATAACAGTTATATTTTAATAGTTGAAAAGGGGAAACTCACACTACAAGAGTGGGAGGTCCGAATTCCAATCGGTCCAGCAGGCACCGCGGGGAGGGGGGAGAGAGAGAGAGAGAGAGAGAGAGAGAGAGAGAGGAGCCCTGGATCTCCCAGTTTTTCTTCCTGGGGTCCAGGTCGCCACTCCCCAATTAGCTGTGAATGGTTAGCAGAGTTTCCCCTTCATGGCTATGGGCCTCTGTACTTCTTCCCATGTACTGAAGGAAGAAGTTTCTCTTATGATGACTGAGCAAGGCACTGATCTGTCAGTATAAAAAGATGTTGTGAGGAGTCATTTCATGGCTATATTCCTTTAGTAAAATTAACAAAATTGGAGTACTTGGTTTTCCCATAGGTCCCTTTCTGGTCTCAGGTTCTAGGCCATGAGAGAATTGTTGAGGATGAGTTCTATTTCATATAGTGAGATTTAATTCCAATCAGAGAGTGTTTGGTTGCTCCCACAAGCTTTGTGCTACTCTTGCACTAGTGTATCTTGCTAGTAGGTCACTATTGTAGATCAGAGGGTTTATAGCAGGGTTGGCATTTACCTTTCTTCTTTGGTAGTATGCAGAATACCTTCCAGCACTGCAAATATTAGTCAGCAGGAAGAAAGGCATGTATGCACCAGCTTAATTTCTCTATGTTCAATGAGTTGTGTAGGTGTTGTCTTAAGCAATAGGACCTTGCCATCAGTTTCTGGAGAGTAACAAATAGCCTTAGCAATAGCTTGGGTTGTTTGGGAGTTCCCAAGGAGATCCTTTGGTCAACAACTCAATTAGATGTCATCCATCTCCTGTACTAGGAGCTTCATTTGATGATGAGAGATATTCAGTTGGGACACTGTCTCTCTTGAGATTTGACAGTTTCAATTAAATCACCTTTACATGTATGTATATTTTAGAAAGCTTCTATTATACTGGGTTTCCATATTGACTCTTAGTTTTAGCTTTCCCTCTCTATAACCACTCCTTAACCCCCATCTTCCTTCTCCCTCTCTAGTTGATCCTCCCATTACAACCTCACTATATGACTGTAACTATCTATTCTATTTTGCCCTTCCTACAATGATCCAATCCCACCCCACCCCATGTCTTCACCATCATCCCTTCTTCCAAGTCTCTCCCTTCATCTTTCCTCCCTCCAAATCCACTCCTCCTCCTTTTCCTCTAGAAAAGAGAAGGTATCCCAGAGATATCAATATAGTGTCGTGTAAATTCCCAGGAATCCACGAGGGTGACACTAGCTAAGACTCTTAGTAAGCATTGGATATAGAGCTTGAGATGGCCATCTTCCATGGCCATGTAAGGCTTCCAGTGGATGAACTGGCATACTAACCCAGCCACCAAACCTTCAACCTATAACTTGTCCTCCCTGAAAGATGTGCTTGGGTAAAAGTGGCATGGAACTTGTGGGTGTGGCCAATCAATGACTGGTCCAACTTGAGACTGATGCCACAAGAGGAAGCCTACACATGACACTGCTTGGAGGTTCAGGAACCAAAGTCTGAATAGACCAGAAACCTAGTATAGAACGTCAAGATTTTATTTTAACAGTTGAGTGATTTCCCATTGTGTAAATGTACATTATTTCTTTAT